CTTGTTAATTTTAGCCATTCTGAGTGGTGTGAGGTGGTATCTCATTGAGGTTTTGATTTGGATTTCCCAGATGCTGAGTGATGTTGAACACTTTTTCATGTGTCTGTTGGCCATTTGGATGTCTTCTTTGCAGAAATGTCTGGTCATGTCTCTGCCCATTTCTTGATTGGATTATTTGTTCTTTGGGTGTTGAGTTTGATAAGTTCTTTATAGATTTTGGATACTAGCCCTTTATCTGATATGTCATTTGCAAATATCTTCTCCCATTCTGTCAGTTGTCTTTTTGCTTTGTTGACTGTTTCCTTTGCTGTGCAAAAGCTTTTTATCTTGATGAAGTCCCAATAGTTCATTTTTGCCCTTGCTTCCCTTGCCTTTGGTGATGTGTTTAGGAAGAAGTTGCTGCAGCTGAGGTCGAAGAGGTTGCTGCCTGTGTTCTCCTCGAGGATTTTGATGGATTCCTGTCTCACATTGAGGGCTTTCAACCATTTGGAGTCTATTTTTGTGTGTGGTGTAAGGAAATGGCCCAGTTTCATTCTTCTGCATGTGGCTGTCCAATTTTCCCAACACCATTTGTTGAAGAGACTGTCTTTTTTCCATTGGACATTCTTTCCTGCTTTGTCAAAGATGAGTTGACCATAGAGTTGAGGGTCCATTTCTGGGCTCTCTATTCTGTTCCATTGATCTATGTGTCTGTTTTTGTGCCGGTACCATACTGTCTTGATGATGACAGCTTTGTAATAGAGCTTGAAGTCTGGAATTGTGATGCCACCAGCTTTGCTTTTCTTTTTCAATATTCCTCTGGCTATTCAGGGTCCTGAACACCTATGAACTCAACAGGAGATATAATATAATATATATATTATATATGTGTATAATAGCTTTGTAGTATAATTTGAAATCAGGAAGTGTTATGCTTCAGTTTTGCATTTTTACCAACAGTGCACTAGGGTTCCCTTTTCTCCTTGTCAACAGTTATCTCTTGTCTTCTTAATATAACCTTAACTTTAACAGGTGTGAGATGATATCTCATTGTGCTTTTTTTTTTCCACTGTGGTTTTGATTTGCATTTCCCTGATAATTAGTGATGTCGAGCACCTTTTCATGTGCCTCTTGGCTCTCTGTATGTCTTTGGAGATTATTCAGTTCCTCTGCCTCTTTTTAAATTGGGTTGTCAGGATTTTTTTGCTACTGAGTTGTATTAATTCTTTATATTTTTTAGGTGTTAATTCCTTATCGGATATGTGTTTTGTAAATGTTTTCTTCCATTCTGTAGGTTACCTTTTCATTTTATTAATAAATGTTTTTGCACATCTGAAAAAAAGTTTTTTTAAAAAGTTGAAAGCTTTTATTTTTTATTTTTATTTTTTAAAAAGATTTTATTTATTTGTTTTGACGGAACACAGACAGGGACAATGGCAGGCAGAGGGAGAGGGAGAAGCAGGCTCCCTGTAGGGAGGCAGATGTAGGACTTGATCCCAGGACCCTGGGATCATGACCTGAGCCGAAGGCAGCTGCTTAACCAACTGAGCCACCCAGGCACCTGAGCAGAAAGCTTTTAAATTTGAGGTAGTCCCACTTATTTATCTTTGCTTTTGCTGCTTGTGCTTTTGCTCTCATACCCAGGAAATCATTCCTGACACCAAGGTCAAGGAGTTTTATCTCTAGGTTTTTTCCTAGGAGTTTTATAGTTTCAGGTCTTCTTAAAGCCTTTAATCCATTTTGAGTTCATTTTTATTAGTGGTGTCAGATAAGAGTAAGAACCATATTCTTCCACTTGTGGTTATCCACTTTTCCCAACACCGTTTTGAAGGGACTATTCTATCTCCACTGAGTATTCTTGGCTCCCTTGTCAAATATTAGTTGGCCATATATGCAGGAGTTTCTGGGTCCAATTCTGCTTCACTGATCTATGTGTCTATTTTTATGCAGTACCACACTGTTTTCATTACTATAGCTTTGTAGTATAATTTGAAATCAGGAAGTGTTATGCTCCAGTTTTGTTCTTTTTTCTCAGGGTTGCCTTGGCTATTTAGAGTCTTTTGTTGTGCCATAACAAATTTTATTTTATTTTTTTTAATTTTTGTGGAAAATATAATTGAGATTTTGATAAGGATTGCGTTGAATCTATAGATGGTTTTGGGTAGTATAGACACTTTAACAATATTAATTCTCCTGATCCATGAATACAGGGTATCTTTCCATTTGTTTGTGTCCTCCTTATTATTTTTTCTATCAAAGTCTTGTAGTTTTCAGTGCAGTTATTTTACCTCCTTAGTTAGATTTATTCTTAATTATTTTAGTGTTTTTTGATGCTATTGTGAATGGAATTGTTCTCTTTATTTCTTTTTCAGATGTTTTGTTGGTGGTCTATAGAAACAAAATGATTTTCTGTGTGATAATTGTATCCTGCAACTTTATTGAATATGTTGATTAGTTCTAGAAATTTTTTGATGGAGTTCTTAGGATTTTTTTGTATATGGGATCATATATGCAGACAAAAGCAATTTTACTCTTCCTTTTCTGTTTGGATGCCTTTGATTTCTTTTTCTTCCCTGATTGCTCTGGCTAAGGCTTCTAGTGCTATGCTGACTAGAAGTGGTGAGAGTGGGCACCTTTGTCTTGTTTCTGATCTTAGAGAAAGAACTTCCAACTATTCACCACTGAGTACGATGTTAGCTGTGGTTTTGTCATATATGGCCTTTATTGTGTTGAGGGATGTTCCTTCTATACTTAATTTTTGAGTATTTTTATCATAAAAGGATGCTGTACTTTGTCAAATGCTTTTTCTGCATCTATTGAGATGATCATATGGTTTTTATCTTTTATCCTATTCATATGGTATATTACATTTATTGATTTACATAAGTTGAACCATCCTTATATCCCGGGTATTATTCCCATTTAATCATGGTGAATGATTTTTTTTAATGTGCTGTTGAATTTGGTTTGCTATATTTTGTTGAATATTTTTGTATCTATATTCATCAGGGATAATGGTCTGTAATTTTCTTTTCTTGTAGTATCCTTATCTGGCTGTGGTATCAGAGTAATGTTATCCCCATAAAATGAGTTTGGGAGTATTTCCTCCTTTTCAATTTTTTGGAAAAGTTTCAGGATTACCATTAATTCTTTAAATGTTTGGAAGAATTCACCAGTGAAACCATCTGGTCCTTGGCTCTTCTATTTTGAGAGATTTTTGATTACTGATTCAATCTCTTTACTTGAAATTGGTCTGTTCAGATTTTCTATTTCTTCATGTTTCTTTTTTTTTTTTAAGATTTTATTTATTTGATCGAGAGCATGAGCAGACAGGAGGGGCAGAGGGAGAGAAGCCCAACCGACTGAGCCATGCAGCTGCCCTCATTTCTTCATGTTTCAGTTTTCGTGGACTCTCTGTTTCTAGGAATTTATTTCTTCCAGTTTATCTGGTTTGTTGGTGTATATTTTTCATAGTAGTCTCTCATGATCCTTTGTATTTCTGTGGTATCAGCTATAGTGTCTCTGGTTTTCATTTCATTTCTGGTTTCATTTATTTGAGTACTCTCTGCATTTCTGTGTTACTCTAGCTAAAAGTTTGTTGATTTTTTTTTAATCTTCTAAAAATGATTTTAGATTAATGAGCTTCTAAAAAGCTCTCAGTTTCAATGATCTTTTATATTTTTGGTCATGGAGCCCAATGTGGGGCTCAAACTCATGACCTTGAGATCAAGACCTGAGCTGAGATCAAGAGTCAGACTTAACCTACTGAGTCCCCCAGGTGCCCGTGCTCAGTTTTTATTTCATGTATTTATCTGGTCTTTGTTAATTCTTTTCTGTTAATTTGGGCTTGGTTTGTTCTTTTACTAGTTCCTTGAGGTGTAAAGTGAGGTGTTTGAGCTATTTTTTGTTTCTTGAGGTACTCTGGAATCACTATAAACTTTCCTCCTAGAACTGCCTTTAGGAGCACCTGGGTAGCTCAGTTGGTTGAGTGTCTACCTTCGGCTCAGGTCATGATCCCAGGATCCAGGGATTGAGCCCTGCATCGGTCTCCCTGCTCAGTGGGGATTCTGCTTCTCCCTCTGCCTCTCCCCCTGCTTGTGCTCTCTCTCTCTCTCACTCTCTCTCAAATAAATAAATAAAATCTTAAAAAAAAACTGCCTTTGCAGTCTCCCATATGTTTTGATATGTTGTGTTTTCATTCTCAGTGGTTTAAAGATTTCTTTCCTCTTTTTTTTTAGAGAATGAGAGAGAGAAAGCATGTGCACACATGTGCGCATGCAACTTGTTGGGTAGGTGGGCAGAGGGAGAGGGAGAGAAAGAATCTTAAGCAGGTTCCACTCCCAGCTTGGGACCTGACACCAGGCTCGATCTCATAAGCCTGAGATCATGACTTGAGCTGAAATCAAGAGTCACTTAATCAACTGAGCCACCTGGGTACCCCTCCCCTTTGATTTCTTTGTTGACCCATTCAGGAGCATGTTGTTTAATCTCCACATATTTATGTTTTTTCCAGCTTTCCTCTTGTTATTGATTTCTAGTTTCATTGTGTTTGGAAAAGATACTTGGTATGATTTCAGTCTTCTTTTTTTTTATTTCAGTCTTCTTAAATTTGCTTAACTTGTTTTGTGACTATCATGTGATCTATCCTGAAAAATATTCCATTTGCACTTAAGAATGTATATTCTACTGCTGTTGGATGGAATGTTTTGGATATGTCTCCAAAACATATTCATTTGGTCTAAAGTTTGTTTCAAGTCCATTGTTTCCTTACTGATTTTCTGTCTCAGTGATCTATTTGTTGTTGAAAGCAAAGAATTGAGATCCCCTACTATTATTGTATTATTTTCTATTTCTCTCTTTAGGTCTGTTTATATTTTCTTGAAATATTATAGATGTTCTGATGTTGTGTGCATATATATTTGTTTTATTTTCTTGATGTATTGACCTTTTACCATTACATAAGAACTATCTTTGTCTTTTGTTACCATTTTGGGCTTAAAGTTTATATTTTTTAGGATAGATTTTTTTTTGTTTTGTTTTTGCTTGCATAGAGTATCTTTTGTTATCCCTTCACTTTGAATCTCTGTATATGTTTACAGCTGAGGTGAGTCTCTTGTAGTCAGTGTATAGTTGGGTCTTGTTTTTTTAACCATCCAACCACTCTATGCCTTTGATTAGAGAATTCAATCCATTAACAATTAGAGTAATTATTGATAGGCAAGAACTTACTAATGCCATCTTATTAATTGTTTTCTGGTGTTTCATGGTTCCATTTTTTCCCCCCTTTCTTTATGCCTTCCTTTGTAATCAATGATTTTCTGTAGTGGTATGCTTTGTTTCTTTTCTCTTTATCTTAGTGTATCTATTTTAGATTTTTACTTTGTGATTCCCATGAGGTTTACATAAAACACCTTGTAGATATAACATTCTATTTTATGCTGATAAAAATTTAACTTTGCTGGCATGCCAAAACTCCATCTTTTACTCTCCCTCTTTGTACATTTTTGATGTCAACATTTACATTTTTATTGTGTCTCCATCCATTAACAAGTTGTTGAAGCTATAGCTATTTTTAAAAAATATATATTTATTTATTTTAGAGAGAGAAAGCACATGGAGGCACAGGGAGAGAGAGACTCTCATGCAGGCTCCCTGCTGGGCATGGAGCCCAGTGTGGGGCTCAGTCCCACAACCCTGTAATCATGACCTGAGCTGAAATCAAGAGCCAGACACTTATTTTACCAACTGAGCCACCTGGCGCCTCTGTCTTTTTGTGATCTTAACTATCTCTTGGACACATCTTTTCATTTGGCTCAGGAAACTTTCTACAGCACAGTTTCTCTCATGTGTTTGAAATCATGTTTGTTTTCTGGGAACACAGAATATGCCAGGTGTAGTTTATTTTTTTCTGTTCTAGGTGGGATTTATATATCCTCTAAGACTCCTAGATCCTTTTAATAAAGAACACATATTACTTTAGACAAAGATGTAGTTTCTAGGGTTGCTTTGAGAGTTTGTGGGTAAGTACTATTATTGCTGTGGGAATACTTTTGACTGTGACAGTGTTGAAAAATATATGTGTTGTCAAATTTATAATTTTACTTCCTCCCACTTCCAGCTTAACATAGCAAAGTAGTATTTTATTCAAGATCACTAAATATATATGTATATATATGTATGTATATGTATATATATGTATATGTATATATATTCAAAGTAATATTGTAGCTTAAGGAAAAAGGCAGGTGAAGGGCCATATTCTGGAAGTTAGAATTTAAGAAGGATCTCTAAGCTGCTAGATACTTGTTTTTGTGATCTCAGACTGCTGTAACAAAATATCATAGATTGGTGGCTTAAACAACAGGGATTTATATCTCACAGTTCTAGAGGCTGGAACATTTGAGATCACGATGCCAGCGTGGGTGGGGGACACAAACATTCAGTCCATGATAGCACTGTAAAAGAAATCAGGGACCCTGATGATGTCTTTATCACAGAATGTTACATTTCTTTTTCCTTTGCCTTAATAAGCTTATTTTCTCTCATCCAGGAAGATTTGAGGATTTAATCAACAGCTCCACCATCCTTTCTCAACCCCAAAACAGAAGTTATTCTTTCTTTACATACAATATACATACATTATGTATATTAAAAGCTTTAGCTCAGGGGTGTCTGGCTCAGCCAGTTAAGCATCTGCCTTCAGCTCAGGTCATGATCCCAGGGTCCTGGGATCAAGCCCCACATTGGGCTCCCTGCTCAGCGGGGAATCTGCTTCTCCCTCTTACTCTCCCTCTCAAATAAATAAATAAAATCTTAAAAACAAAAAAAGCTTTAGCTCATTGCTCACATTGTCTTTTGCCATCTTGCACACAACTTACTCAGCTCAGAGAACTTTTTAAGGCAGAATTTACCTCAAGCATGTAACTGCCTTTGAAAATATAACATCCAAAAGAAAAAAAAAGAAGAAGAAAGAAAGAAGGATGAAGGAATGTTTGTTTAATTTTTATTAGGACTAATGATTATTCTTTTAAGGCATTGCTAAACTTTTTGTTTGAATGAATAAAAACAAATTGAGAAATTTCACATGACACACTAATCTAGTGATTACAGTATACTTAATGGAAATTTCTACTGGTTGTTTTGGATGTTGCTTTCCCAACTTCCTTTTGTCTTTGTCTCCCAGAGTGAATCAAAGTAGACTTGTCTTTGAAAAGACTTCTTCTTTTGACTTATCTTTTATATGGGGAACTTTCTGATCTTACCAGAATAAGTGATATTAATGTTCAATCTCAAGTATTTCTGAAGGTATACTCCTTACCCACGGAAATACACACGGGGCAAAATTAGAAGAGGCTTCTCATTCTGCCAACCACTGGACAGCAAGAGAGTTAACCCACAATGGGGCAAGAAGAACCTCAAAATAAACGTGAGTACATTCTCTCCTCTCAGTTTTAAAGAGGTAAATGTAATTATGACTAAGATTTAAAAATATGAATTAATGGTAGTTGCAGTTGTGAAGATTGAAGATGATGATGAGGAGGAGTTAAAGGAAATGACAATGACTTTGGTGAAAAGGAAGGTCATAGATAGATTCAAGTATGTTGGGTAAGAGAAACTTCTTTGTGAAACATGAATTGGGCCAAGAGAAGAGATAAATTATACAAAAGAAAAATAAGATGGAAAGAAAGAGAGTAATTTGGGAAGCTTCTTTTAAAGGCAAGAGGAAGAAGGAAGATAGACAAATCACACTGACTAAGGCTCACAGTTTACCTGAGGCTCTGACTTTATCCCATTTTGTGCTGTACTTAAGGGTCACAATGTATTTGTATTACAAGAATATTAAACAATATTTTTGAGAAATAGAACAAATGCAGCTGGTAATGCTGGCCTCCTACTAGGACAAATTATGTTTAATTTAAAATTAATGTTTTTCTTCACCTCATCGCTCCACCGTGGCAAACTTCAATGGGACCATAATGTACACTGGTCCTGAAACACACCTCTTTATATAAGAATATGTCTTGGAGACTTTTTCTGTCAATACATACTGATATATAGGATTATTTGAATTGCTGTGCAGAATTCCATCATAGAGATTCACCATCATTTAGAATCTGTACTATTTATAATACACATGCAAGTATTGATCTCTGATGTTTTTTCTTCTATTTCCAAAAGTACTGCAATGAATATCCTTCCATATAAATAAGTTCAATTATTTTTTATGATAGAGCTCTAGAATTGAAATTGTGGCAAATGTGATACATTTAAAAATTGATAAGTGCTACTAACTTGGTCTGTCTAAAGGCTTTCTAATTTATAGTTTAGCATATGCATGTGTTTCCTCACCAAAAGAGTTTATTTCTTCTCAGTCTTGCTGATACTACATATTTTCTATTTTCTTTTAAAAATCTCATATGTGAAAAATTATACCATAATATTTTAGTTTACATTTCTTTGAGCATACTTTTTTGTTTAATGGTCATTTATAATTTCAGCAAACTAAATTTTCAGCAAATTTCCTGGTCAAACTTTTGCTCAGTTTTCAAATTGATTTTTGAAATTCTCTCTACAGTCTAGACATTAATATTGTGACAAAATTTTCTTTCATATGTCCCTTGTGTTTTAACATTATTTGTGTTATATGGATGTTTTAATTTTTATGGACCCAAATTATCAATTTTTTATGATTTTGGGGTTTTCTGTCTTATAAAGAGCCTTTCCCTTCAAAAAAAGTTTACATTTAATGTATGTTTATATGTATGTATGTATGTTTTTATCTGTAAGCTCTAAAGCTGATTTATTCAGGAGGAAATCTTTAAGCTCTCCTCTAGATCTAAGATATTGTGGATGATCTCATATTTAGCTTGCTTCTCAGTAGAATATCTTCCCTAGTTGTTGTGGCAGAGAATGTATTTATCTTTCCTTTTGTCCTAGAAGGAGGCCAGCATTACCAGCTGATCCCGTGGGCTGTTGCTGTTTTTTTCATCTCACTTCTCAGTGCTTGTTTTATTGCCAACTGTTTGGGTAAGTTATTAGCTGAAATGGAACTTGTGAATTTCTCCAAACAACATTCATAACGTTCCTCTAAGCTTTTTGTTATTTTGATTCCCCCCCAACCCCCAACATTTCAATCCATATTGCTTTTCAGGGTCTTGAATTTAAAATCCAGAGCTACATTTTTAACCTTCTATTCTTTGATGGTGTTGTCTTGTGTCAGGGAATGGCAGATGGAAGTTAAACCCTTTTCTATACATATGAAGGTTGGTGGCTGTAGTAAATCATTCCCCATTTTTGACTGAGATTACAAAGGGCTGTATCTTATCAGTAAAGAATAACCAGCAAAAACCCAACTTTCAGATGGACTATAGTCTGGCTTTGAAAAGAAGAACAGTTGAAAGATTTGTTCTTTCTAATAGCAAGACCTTGTATAAAGTTATTATAATTACAGTAATATAGTATAGGTGCAAATACAGACAAATAGACCAGAGGAAAGGAATAGAGAGCTTAGTTATAGATCCTGCATGTATGAACTCTTTATATAAAACAGAAGGGGGTATTGCAGTTACAGGGAAAGGACAGTTTTTTTCAATTAATGTGCTGGAGGACCATTGATTATTCTTACTCAAAAAATGAAATTGGTCTCCTGTATATCATATACAAAACCAACCTGATGTGGATTATTGGCCAAATGTGAAAAGCAAATCAATAATGCTTTTTAGAAAATAAATGGAGAATATATTCATATCCTCAAGGCAGGGAATGATTTCTTAAGTCATAAAATGTGCTAGCCAGGGCGCCTGGGTGGCTCAGTTGGTTAAGCGACTGCCTTTGGCTCAGGTCATGATCCTGGAGTCCCGGGATCGAGTCCCGTGTTGGGCTCCCTGCTCGGCAGGGAGTCTGCTTCTCCATCTGACCCTCTTCCCTCTCGTGCTCTCTATCTCTCATTCTCTCTCTCTCAAATAAATAAATAAAATCTTTAAAAAATAAAAAATAAAATGTGCTAGCCAATGAAGAAAATATTGACCAATTATACTATATTAAAGTAAGAATTAGTGTACAACAAAAATACCAAGAAAACAGCCATAGGTGTTTGTAATGCATATAATTGATAAAAAATTAATGTACAATATATATAAACAATTCTTTCAAATCAATAGGAAAAAATCCTGACAAATACAGCAGGAAAATAGGAAAATTTTGAATAGGCCCTATAGGAAAGAAAAATTGAAATGTTTAATGAACACATAAAAAATGTCAAGCTCATTAGTTTGCAGGGAAATGAAAATTCAACTCCCAATGAGATACCATTGCAAACATACCAGGATGGCAATAATTAAAAAGTCCGGCACTATTAGATATTGATGATGATGTGGAGCAACTGAACCTCCAAAGAATTGCTGCTAGAGGGAGCATAGAGCAGTACAACCACTTTGGAAAACTTTGCCACTATCATAGTTGGCACTATGTATATTCTACTACCAGCAATTCCACTCCAGGCATATAACCCAAAAAATGCATGCTTATGGGCTCTAGGATGCATGATCAAAAATGCTCAGAAGGGTATAGTTCATAATAGTCAAACACTGGAACAATGCAATGTCAACCAGAAGAAAAATATATAAATACATTTTAGTGCATTAAGACAATAGATCACTTTATAGCAATACAAATGAATGGATTATAGTTGTATGTAACAGTATAAATAAATTTCAGAAATAACACTGAGCAAAAGAACCAAAATAATGCATATTTTATCATTTTATTTATATAAAAGTTCAAAAGTAGGCAAATCTGATCTGTATGGTATAGGGATATGTTATCAAGTGGTAAAATTGTGAAGCAAAGCACAAAGTGATTACTTTAAAATCCATGGCATAGTTACCTTTAAGAGAGAGGAAGTGAGTTGTATTTGGGATGTGAAGGCCACCCGGGGTGTTGGCAATGTTGTGTTTCTTAAGCCGGATTGTTGTTACCTGGAGTGTTCACTTTACAATAATTTGAATAACTGTACATTTGTGTTTTTCACTTCTTTGCACTTGGTTATGTTTCAAAGTAAAAATATTTATTTATTTATTATTTATTTATCTGAGAGAGAGAGTGCAAATGGGGTGGGTGAGGGGCAGTGGGAGAGAAAGAGAGAGAATATCTTAAGTAGGCTCAATGCCCAGCGCAGAGCCCAACGTGGGGTTTGATCTCACAGCACTGAGGCCATGACCTGAGCCAAAATCAAGAGTTAGACACTCAACCGACTGAGCCACCCAGGTGCCCCTCGAAGTAAAAATATTTAAAAGATAAATAAGTGTATATGGCTCATAAAACTTGGCAGAACTATCCCGATGTTTACTAAAAATCTCCGCTCTTACACAGATTCTGATAGAAAAATATGCTTAAAAGCATATATACATAAAGGTTTGCAGAACTGCTCCCATAAAGCACAAAATGGGTAATATGATAATAAAAATGTTAATTTTTGACAACCCTTTTCAACCTATTCACCTGGAGCTGGAACAAAGGAACTGGGTAGTAAGAATAGGAGTTAGTTGACCTAACTCTTAGGGGAAGAGAAGGACCAGAGTGATCAGCTCCTATTTCCCTGATTAAGTGGTTATATAGAAAAAGAAAACTAACTCTTTTCCCCTTTGACAGTAACTCATCGCAACTTTCTGCGCTGCAGGAGAGATACAAGAGTGTTCAAGTTACCAGAGTACCACACGAAGCTGACATGCACCAGAGAGAAATCAAAATTGAAAGGTAGATAGAAAAGGGCATAGGAGAATGTCTTTCTTACTTCCATTTCCATTCAGGTTCATAATCTGATTTAAAGTACTCAGCAGTAAACCAGGAGAGATTAAAACAACAAGAGTATCTGGTGCAAGAGTGAACATCAATAAATAGAAATAGATTTCTCGTGACTGTAATCAGTTGAATAACTGGAGAATATAACAACACATTTAGGATCCATTTTTGGCATCCAAAACATAACATTAATTTAATTCCATTTTCTTTTGATTCAGCCATATCTTAAGGACTGTTTCCTCCTACAATATACAGCTTTGCTGAAGTGACTTTGTCTCTCTTATTATGCTAGAATTTGTAAAATCCCCCATCCTTTGGGAGGATGGGGAAATGCTTGAGAGTTCTAGTAGGTTCGCTACCCCCTTTAGATAAAATTTCCTGCAAAAGGCTTTGTCCTAGAAGCACTTCAAAATATGGAAGTAAATACATGTAAGGACACTGAGAAATGATGTTGTCTTCTGAGAGAATATCTTGTAATTTTCATATAGTCACTATGTGATTCAGATACTTTTGCTCAGAAATATTTAGAAATGTAATTTTCAGGATTTTTAAAAAAGGGGAACAGAATGATTTTGGGAATCCTGGTATTATTTCCAAAAAATGTTAACTGGATAGTTAGCAGAATAGCTATGCAATCTGTTACAGATGAAATGCTCCTTTGTAACTGACTTTCATTTCAATTTTCTCATGAGGGAGCACCTGGAATTGCTGTCCTTTTGGCTGGAGAGCCTTCCAGTCCAACTGCTATTTTTTTCTTACTGACAACAAGACATGGGCCGAGAGCAAAAGGAACTGCACGAGCATGGGGGCTCATCTGGCCACCATCAGCACAGAAGCTGAGTTGGTATGTTGGGAGGCTTCCATCCATCTCTCTGCTAGTTTGAATCTCTTTGCAGAGAAAGAGGAATTTCTCTGCTCTGCCTCTGTGCCTTTGCTTCATCTGTTTTATCTTCCTCCCTCATTTTTCTTCATCTGGCCAACTTCTGGTCTTTCCAGATTTGATTCACATGTTATTTCCTCCAGAAAACAACCCTGACTACCTTCCCTACTCCATCCTCCCTGTTCTAGTTTGGAGATACTCCCATGGTACTTTGCGCACTGTGTAATCATGGCACTTACATCACTGTAGTGAGGTTATCTGTTCACTGTCCTGTCTTTGCTGATGACTCTGCTTTATAGAGGGCTGCAGCTGTGCTCCCCTAATCTTTGCATCTCCAAAGTCCTGCACAGTGCTAGGCACTCTGGATAGGTCTTGATAAATGTTTGGTGATTAAGTGAATAAATGAATGGTTAAGCAGTACTGAAATAACTTCTCAGGAGAAAGCATAGGAAAAATAATTCAGTTGTACGGTTGAAATTCTAAGTAAAAAAAAAATCTTAAGCTTAATTCGGTTCTTTAAAAACAAATGTATTTCCTCATGTAATATACTTCTATGTACATACCATAACTCATAGTCAACTCTTTTCTTAGTTAGAGGGGTTTCCCAGAGGATTCTGTTCCCATGGCTTTGCAATCTATAGGTTCACCAACTCTTTGAATAAAATGGAACTTAATTTAATGCACATGCAATTAAAGAAGGCAATTTTAAAAACAAAAGTTTTTAAAAATCTGATCCTATTAAACATTGTGCTAAGTGATTTGCAAGTATGATCTCACTTACTCTTCACAGTAACTCTGCGAGGTAGTAGAGTTGTCCTTTTGGAGATGAGAAATCTTGGCAGAGGCAGGATTTGAAAGCAGATCTGTCTGATGACAATGCTTTTGTGCTTAGCTAGTAACGTATCTGACCTTTTCTCTCTTTTCCTAATATAATAGCTATTAAATGATAAATGCAAATATACTTATAAAATTTACATTTTTATGCAGAATTTTATTATTCAATTTTTGGATCCACGATTTTCCTATTTCCTGGGACTTGAGAACCATGAAGGCTGGTGGTCCTTGGTGGACAAAACACCATTTAACCCACATAATTTGTGAGTATGTTGACTGGGGTGAAAGAGCTTTATAGGCAAAGGTGAGAAGATAGCAAGCAGAATTCATTTGGGCTGGAATAAACCGATGTAGAAATGCTTACTCAGAATAGAACATTATGTGTTGAGTACCCTCTATACTGATATACTCTGATACTTCTATTAGACAATGCAGCTCTAAATTTTTCACCAGAGGCATTTTCTCTGCATGTCCCCCAACCTACACACACACACACACACACACACACACACACACATGCACTCACTCACACACACACACACACACAAATATAAATATATGTTTATATATATTTTTTTCTTTCATTTCAGATTATGGCATGAGGGTGAACCGAACAATCGGGAAGAAAATTGTGTTGTCCTTGTTAATGTTCAAGACAAATGGGCCTGGAATGATTTTCCTTGTAACTTTGAGACAAAAAGGATTTGTAAATTACCTGGAACAGCATTCAACTAGAAACCTCCAAAGGAGTCCTTGTATGGGGACAGAAAAGAAGAACTAATTAGACTAGGGAAGAATGTACCCACACCGTTGGGACAGAGAAAACCTGCTGAGAAAATAGAACACTTTCAGTTATGATGGCCTTATTTATTTTTGTTCTATTCATTCAAGATAATGTGTTTTTGTGTGGTATGATGGCAGGAATCATCTTTTCTGTGAGAATCCACTTTCATGAACTTTCTTTTCTTGACAGTATATCAGAGTACTTCTTTTTCAGTTGGTATGCATCGATTACATACCGAACACAACGGCTCAAATAATGCAATCTCTTAGTCATTGTTTTCTTCTGCTCAGATTTTTAGCTCTTAAGATTCAAACACAGGGTATTCCAACTGGTAGTGGTATGCCATTATTTTAGCCCCAGTTATGACAAACCCTCTAAATGTTTTTTTTTTTTTTAAGATTTATTTATTTATTTGAGAGAGGGAGAGAGATAGAGAGAGAGAGAGAGAGAGAGAGGGAGGATGGTCAGAGGGAGAAAGAGAATCTAAAGCAGATTCCCCACCAAGCCTGGAGCCTGACGTGGGGCCCAACATGGAGCTCAATCTCACCACCCTGAGATCATGACCTGAGCTGAAATCAAGAGTCAGATGCTCAACCAACTGAGCCCCCTAGGTGCTCCCTAATCCATTTCTTGCAGCCTGATTATTTTTTATTACCTCTATGGTGACCACAACAGACCACCTTTCTTACCTGGATTATTGCAGTAGCCTCTGACTGGTCTCCCTGTTTCTCCCCTCAGCCCCTTTCAATCTGTTCCCAACTCTCATGGCACTTCTCCTATTCTTCATAATTTCTTTAAGACAGCTGATAGTAATTTCATAAAAATAACTGCAAAATGTATTAGGACACTGTGGTAGTCCTAGAAGTTTGAAGCCCTAAAAACATTTAAATACTGGTTTTGTCTTTGAAAAAGTAAGATATATATGTGTTAAAATGGCAAACAGGAAAAATATAAATGAAAGTGTAAGTTAAGTCTTCCACCCTGAACTCCAGTCCCTTGAATGCCTCTTCAGAGAAAATATGATTGTCAAGTTTCTTATATGTATTTCTGTATATGTTTAAATATGTGTTATATAAACGTATATACATATATAACCTACCTTTTTTTACACTAATGGAAACATGATCTACATTGTCTTAAACATCTTGCAGTTCCTTCCCCCGCGAATCTCAGGGGTTTTGTCTGTTTGTGTTTCACCATATGGTAAGTGTACTTTGTGATTCCCATCCCTTCTTTCCCCCTTCCCCACCCACCTCCCCTCTGGTAGCCATCAGTTTGTTCTCTATAATTAAAAGTCTGTTTCTTGGTTTGTCTCTCTTTCTCTTTTTTGCCTTTGCTCGTTTGTTTGTTTCTTATATTCCACATACGTGAAATCATGTGGTATTTATCTTTCTCTGAGTGACTTACTTCATTTAGCATAATACATTCTAGCTGCATCCACTTGGGCAAAGGACAAGATTTCATCCTTTTATATGGCTGAATAATATTCTGTTGTATATATAGCACATCTTCTTTATCTATTCATCAGTTGATGGACACTTGGGCTGCTTCCATAGTTAAGCTATTGTAGATAATGCTGCAATAAACACCTGGGTGCATATATCCCTTTGAATTAGTGTTTTTGTATTCTTTGGGTAAATACCCAGTAGTGTGATTACTGGATCGTATGGTAGTTCTGTTTTTAATTTTTGAGGAACCTCCATACTGTTTTCCACAGTGGCTGCACCAGCTTGCATTCCTGCCAACAGTGCGAGAGGATTCCTTCTTCTCCACATCGTTGCCAACACTTGTTGTTTTTTGTGTTTTTTGATTTTAGCCATCCTGACAGGTGTGAGGTGATAGCTCCCTGTAGTTTTGATTTGTGTTTCCCTGATGATGGGATGTTGAGCATCTTTTCATGTGTCTATTGGCTATCTGGATGTCTTCTTTGGAAAAATGTCTACTCATGTCTTCTGACCAGTTTTTAATTGGATTCTTTGTTTTTTGGGGTAATCATCTTACATTTTTTACTTAAAAATATAGTTTGGGAAATGTTTTATACCTTGTTCCAAATAACTAAATAGTGTTTCATTATATCGGTGTATCATAATCTGAAATAACCTGTGACAAAATATTTCCTTTATATAATAAAAATCAACAAAATAATGGCTGTGAAAGAAACCATGAGAACAATCCCAGTTCAGATCAGAAAAGGAAGACAGTTCCAAGAGGATTTCTTTTCTTTTCTTTTCTTTTTTTTTTTTAAGATTTTATTTATTTATTTGAGAAAGAGAGAGAGAGCGAGAGCCCGAACGCAAGCAGGGGGAATGGGAGAGGAAGAAGCAGGCTTCCCGCCGAGCAGGGAGCCCAATGTGGGACTCGATCCCAGGACCCTGGGATCATGACCTGAGCCGAAGGCAGACGCTTAACGACTGAGCGATTTCTTTTCTTCTTGAAAACATGGGACTGATAGAATGTATTTGAATGCATTGAGATGTGATGTACAATTCTGCATAGTTAAGGGATGCATTATTAATCAGTACATAGAAAACTAGATAAATAAAAAATGCTGCCAATATTAGCTATACAAAAAGCAAAATGTGTTTAAGAACATATATAATATAGTATATAATCATTATACAGTACAAGATTCAGCTGTGAATAATATTTACATATTCATAATAACATACAAATAAAAATTTTTGATAATGAGCATGTATCATTTTCACCAAATGTATTAGAATGATTTTTCTTTAAAATATTTAGAGGACCAAATGGTAATGTTTACATCTTAACAGTGGTTTACTTGGGGAATACAGTCTTGGGACTACGGATGATTATTTACCCTTTTATTTTTTGGAAATTTCTGGCTTTTCTGATGCCTAAGTATTTTTGTAGGTCCTATTGTAAAATATATTTTAAGATAGTTTCAACCAGATGATCTACCCCTCAGAATTTTCCAGATAAATAACTTGAGTCCTGTTGATCTTTAACCACTAAACCCTGAGTGATTGTTTCTTTTCTTGCCAAACTTTGAAGACAAAGTTAATTGCATTACAAATTATAAATACACGGTGAATAATGTATACCAATACTTTTATATATCTTTCAATATTGAAATAAAATTTAAAATATCAAATTATAGCCAACAACAGAGAAACAATGGTGAACAAAAGCATTTCCATATGTCTTTCATTGATGTTTATAATTTGAAAAAAGGGAATTAGAAAGTAGAAGATATATGTACTGGATTACGTTTAGGTTGAATGACTTTTGGTTTAAAGGCATATTGGTTTCAAAACCATATGTGATCCCTTATACCTAAGAGGGATAAACATTTATAGGGAAAGATAATACATTATATTCACTTATTCAGTTGAATTTTCCCATTTCATGATTACACATTCATTCCAATATATGAATTTTGAGGGTCTCTTTATGGTGCTGTGTGCAAGAAACATGGTTATTAAAGGTGCTATGTTATTTAAACATTCTCAGGACTGAAAAAAATATCAGGCAAATAGTGGATAGGCTTGAGATAGGAAATTGTCAAGCTGACTATTCTCTTAGAACAATTTGACTGTTGGACCCTAGCTGAACAATAGCCACAAACTCAGGTGAGATTCAGTTATTCAGTGGAAGAGAATAAAGAGAAAAGGGAGTTCTTGGGATGAACGGACTGAATAATAGTCTGTTTGGAGCTGAAGCTTAGCATGGCCTTTTCCTAGAGAGACACAGTCAAGGACTTTACCCAGGAAGTCCACATGTCTTTGGAGCAGGAATAAGTTTCATGACTTGAGGGAGTTTCTTACTTATCGTACAGGAAAACATAGTGAGGATACATGCTCGGGCAGGGGTAAAAATGGTTGGTATGCAATCAAGAAAGCAAGGCAGACTTTTCAGGAGCCAGAAAGAAAAAGAATTGACCAGAGCCTGAACTCAGGGGATTGTTCAAAGTCACTTTGAAAATCTTCTTCTTGCTGGGCTCTGTACTTGCTCTGTGTCCCTCTCTTTTCACATCAGTATTCACAAATGAAGCAAATGTGCCCAAAGGAGCAAACTTTTCTTTTCCTGGCATTAGTTCGAGAATTTCTTGGTAAGTTTTGAGAAGTCCTGACACTAATATGGAGACAAGAACGTCAATCAGTATCACAAATTGTAACATTCGAAACGACTTATTTTTATTGGTAGTGAAAGCAACAAAGTCCTCCCGAAGTCCCTGTGGAGTCCTCATTAAATGCGGCACACAACTTCTCTCAGGTTGGAATTGGGTTCATGCTCTTGTGCCTCCATATTTATGCATTTCAGTTGTGCTTTCTGCTCTTAGAGAATTTTTTTGTTGCTTGAGACCTTTATTTCTGGCATTTCACAAATCCGAAACATATTGAAGAAACAAGGCACATCATTCCAATTTTTCCTGGGATTTGAAGAGTCTCGGATGGTGGCACAGTCCTCCACTGTCACTATATTATTGGGCTCCCCGACATCCCAGAAGCTGAAAGAGAATAATGCAGAAGATTTAAAATCCCAGCTACAAGAAGTCAAGTCATCTACTATGCTAGGCAAATGACATTTGTGTTGTATAACTTCACAACAGTTTCATTAGTTAGGCATTATAATCTCCATTTTATTTTATTTTTTTAAAAGATTTTATTGATTTATTTGGCCGAGAGAGAGGAAGTGCACAGCAGGGGGAGAGGCAGAAGGAGAGGGAGAAGCAGACTCCCTGCTGAGCAAGGAACCCCACTTGGAGCCTGACCCCAGGACCCCGAGATCACAACCCGAGCTGAAGGCAGACGCTTAACTGACTGAGCCACCCAGGTGCCCCTATAATCTCCATTTTATTGGTAAGGAAAAGGAATCCCAGAAAAGCTGAACCATTTGTCTAAGTCATAGAGTTTATGAGGAGTGAAGCTGGACTGGATATTGCTGACATTCTATTCTGTCATGCTCCCTCATGGTTGTCCACCCATAATGAGTAGCTATTGATATTCTGGTGGGTTTGTTTCCTTCACACTCATATCTCATCTTAAGTTTGGTTCCTTATATTCCACACCGAATTTGTATTCACTTAGGTACATACCTCAGTGGTGTTACAGTGCTGTAGTGAAGCAACTTTCTAAAGTCTCAGCACATCTGGCCTGTACTCTTAGAACCGACATTAACCTTCCTGACCTTTAGTTTCCTCAAATGCTAAGTGAAGATTAATAATATCAATGTATCTCAGAAAGGTGTAATTTAGGTAAAATGAAATAATGAATGAGATAAAAACTTTGAAAACTCCAAAGTGCTGTGCTCTCATGATGTAAGGTCATTATTAAGGAGAAAAGAGACACTCCATAAATATGCTTTTCAAATCACTATTTTTGTCTCATTTACTAGTCTGGGGCATAAGATTCTGAATTTCACTCTGTCTTTGTGGCATTTCCAATGAACTAGTCTTGAAATCTAACCCTCTCCTTCTTTTCATCTGTTATTTCCCCTTTATTCAGACAGTCTCAGGAATTGGGAGCACTAGATCCTCATGCTTCCTTCATCTATCTTCTTGCATGTCGTTGTCACCAAAGGTTGACCTGAAGATATCTCGTGGAAGAGAAGGAGGTTCTGAGAACTCCCTGCAACAATGGTCTAACTCTGGGATTTGAGACAGTGTTCTAATTCTCCTGCAAGAAGGAAATTACCTGAGAGTTTCTGACAAAGGTGTTCCATCTACCCATTGCCACCGACCCTCATTCACCTGGTCTGTCAGTCCAATATAGAACTCTCTCCTTTTAGGTTTCGCAAAGAAAAGGAATTCCTATGGAAGCAACACAATTATTCCAATTTTGAACAAATGTTGAAGGTAATTGTTATTAACAGATAAAGTATGACATTTACTACAGATAATAGATAAGTGGCTCTGAAAGTGTAAGATCATGGAGGATTATCTTCTCATTTTTTTTCATTGTGGGAAAAATATACCTACTGTAGAATCAAATCTTTAATGGAGAAGGAGGTTCTCGATAACTCATTCAAAGTTTATCGACTGTTATTTGTAGCAAAATCTACTGTATATATCCAGCATGAAACATTATTCATCACAGCTTAAAGACGGTGGACATATCTGACATAATCATGTGATATGCTCATCAACATAAGAGCCACTCTAAAATGAACTCCCACCCCTTCCCCCTGCCCCTGCCCCATCTTCCTAATAAAGAAACTGAACATGGAAATTCCCTTTTCTTTTAGGCTCTTCTAGTGATGAAAATCGAGTAAGTATCGACTTACAGAAATAGTAGGAACAGCATGCATTTCAATACATTCATTTAACAAATAGTAATTGTGGCCCAAACACTGTATACACATATGGAGAAAGGGATAGATCCTGTGGAGAAGGTCACATTGACACCAGAGGAGGCTGCACTCCAACTACCTGCTCCTCCTGCGTGTTGATAACAACCAGATGGGCTCCCATGTTGGAGCAGTTTTTTAAACTTGATGCCCAAGACATGGTGTTAGTAGAAAAGAAGTAGCAGCTAGATTGAAAATGTACCCAGTCCGATGGACAGCAATTCTTGACTGAACCTAGGAGGAGAGAAGTTTCCATGAGTGTCCTAGCCCAGTGGAGCATCATGTAGCATTTTGCTAAGACTTGGAACAAGACTACATATATAAGAGCGTAGGGAGTATATTTCTGAGATATTTCCAAATTCCCTATTCTCTATATTTTTTTCTCCTTCACTTCATTTGGAAGCAAGTGAAGAATGAAAAGAAAATGCATTCCTGGAGATAATACCTTCCACTTCTAGATTTTCTGTTGAGACATATCTCAAATTTATTCTAAAAGTTTTCTGTAATGTCCCCAAGATTTCCTGTCTCGATGCTAATTGCATTTTCAAAGTTCTAGAACTGTTTTCTTACCAATTCCTCAACATTCTTATATAGTACAGGCAAGATTTTACATTTCGTTTTTGAAAAACAGAACATCATGCAACTACTTTATTTGTCTCCAAATCAATCTAGAAGCCAAAAAAAAAAAAAAAAAGTGTTGATATAAGGGCTCCTGGGTGGCTCAGTTGTTTAAGCATCTGCCTTTGGCTCAGGTCATGATCCCAGGGTCCTGGGATGGAGCCCTGCATCAGGCTCTCTACTCAGTGGGAAGTCTGCTTCTCCCTCTGCTCCTCCCTGACATTCATGCTTGCACTCTCTGTCTCTCTCTCTGAAATAGATGAATAAAATCTTTAAAAAAAGTGTCGATATATAAATGTTGATGTTCAAATTTGAGGACTATTATACCCGATCCATCATTGGAGCAGGAGAAGTCCATGAATGCCTCATGTAGCTGGAACTTATTCTCATCACAGAGTTGAAAGACACGATATGTCACTGTAAAGAAAGGGTCAGACTTAATATTCATTATTCTTGATAAAAATATATTTTATCATTTTTGTATTTATAACAAAAGTACCAATAATCATCATGGTTTCTTTTTCTTTTCTTTTCCTCTTTTTTTTTCTATTTGTCTTTCTACACAGAGAGGCACCAAGATTTACTTACTCGAAGAAAGAAGATGGAATTCACATTTCATGGTTTTCCTGATTTATGAAGATGAATGTACTTTATTTCAGGTCTAAAGGCCCAGAGAAAACAAATGCATTTTCACTCTCTCTTATGCCAACCCTCCCTACCTTTCTTCCAAAAAGTGATTTTGTCATGCCTCTGGCTAGGATCCCATAGAGAAGCTTATCGTAATGATAGGAGTACAAAGGGGAAGACTCAAGGCCACCAAGGAGATGAAAAGTGTCTATCATTAAAAATGTGTCAGAGGTCGCTGAAATTTGGTAACCGTTCTGTACTAGTTGGGGTTCTAGTTGAGCAATAACCTGGAGAAAAATACCCTTTTGGGGGGAAGAGAACCCACAGGCAACAAGAAAGATTTTACTCCTAATATTCACCAGGGAGATTAAACTTGACCTTTTGAACTCACCAACACATCTGGTGATAAAACAGGCACTGAGCAGTAGCATGGAGACCCCAGCAACAGTCCATAAGAGCACTTGGGAAGACAAGCATCTTTTCTCTGTAGAAAGAAATACGCAAACATGGTCAATCTTCCCCTAGCAAGATACAAAAGAAATTCTTATTCAACCACTTATCTCCTTCCCACTTGCACTATTCTATATGGAGTAATTCTCAAACTTCAGCACGCATCAGAATCGTTTGGACGGTGTGTTGAAAGACAGGTGATGGCGCCTCACCTCTAGAGTTAACAATTCATTAGACCTGGTACTGAGCCAGCAAGTTCCCAGAAGCTGCTGAAGCTGTTGGTCTGGAAACCATCTTTCGGAACCGCTAGAATAAGCCATTGCTAATCTTAAGATTCATGAACTGAGACAGATGGGCAATTTTTCCTTCCTAAGTCTCCCAGATTTTTCCCCTTCTTTTCCTATCTTTCCCTTTCTCCCTCTTGCCCGCTCTGTTTTTCTTGTCTCTCTCCTGCTCTCCTCTTTTCGGTGTTTCATTTCCCAAACCCTCTGTAAATCAATTCAGATAAAACGTTGGCCATGCTCTAGTAGCTCCTCTCCGCTCCCCCCCACCCCACCGCCCCATACACATTTTACAGACAGGAAAGTGGGTTGCAGAGAAGTGAGGTGATTTGCCCAACACAACACAGGGGCAGGGTGGGCAGAGCAGTCTGATTCAGCTCCCTGGAATCCAGCCCAGTGATCCTCAGTACAACATATGGCCCCTAACCACTGCCTCAGCTTCCTCTCTTGCGTTCTGTCTCTGTCTCCCTTCTTTTGTTCTAGTGGAGACTTTTCTATTGTCCCGTCCCTCAAAATATTTATCACCTCTTCCCAAAAGAAAGATCTATGAAAAAAAGGGAGAGTTGCAAATGTTACCTGTGCCTTGTGATATAGATAGTTGGCATGAATTCATTCTCTTCCTCCCTTTCTCCCTCTTTCCCTCTCTCTCTCTCTCCTCTCGTCAGTTTCTGAGTCTTGTTGGTAAGATTCAAGGAAAATGAATCTTTTTCTGTTTTTTAAGAAGTGCAACCCTAAGACATTATAATATTAACGTGTCCTGTGGCTTTGTGTTTCAGTCAGGGTTTCCTTTCTTGCATAAGGAGGACAAGGGATTTTACCGGGTGACAAGTCTGACAAGTCTGTCTCTTTCTTCAGGAAACAACTAAATGGGGGAATGGTGAAGTGGTTAAATATCAACAGAAATGGGCTGAGCGTGCAGACACATCAGGGGCTGAAAAATACTGGTGGAAAAATTTTGGTGGATAAAATTTCTCTACTTTCTTGTAGGCCTCACTCATCCTTCAGTCTGCCCTTGACATTTGTGGGGCCCTCCTCTGCACTTCTAATTTCACTTTCAGTCCTTGCCACCACACATTTGTTAACTGGTAAGAGGCCCAACTCCAAATCTTCACACTTGGCACAGAGCTGCGCGTATAGTATATGCATTTACAACTTAGCCATGTGAATTCCTTTTCCTATTTTATGTTTTTTTCTTCCTCCTTCACTTGCTTCTCTTGAACCTTCTGGATTTCTCTCGTGTTGTGTATGTTGCATTGTGGGTTTGTATCTCTTCTATCAAAGTGTTCAACACTAGGCAATCTCACAGGTCTGCCCCAGTTGAACCGCCTCACGTGGTATGACTACTTTGAAATTCAGCTCCATTCCTCATGTCAAAACAGCTTCTGGAGCCTTCGAGACTCAGCAAGTAGTTTCATTCTATTCTTCTAAATTATTTAGGGATTTTTGTTTTATATTAGGGCCTATTTTAGGAGAAATAAATTTGAATGCCAGAAGAAGCAATTTCAGTTAGACATGAAAATATCATGCTTCTCTGGAAGGTTAGTTAGATGTAGTAGTGTTCCACTCCTTTCCTTAAAAATACTTAAGGGGGGTGGGGGGATGGGTTAGCCTGTGATGGGTATTAAAGAGGGCACATTCTGCATAGAGCACTGGGTGTTACGCACAAACAATGAATCATGGAACACTATATCAAAAACTAATGATGTAATGTATGGTGATTAACATAACAATAAAAAATTAAAAAAACACTTAAGAACAAGATCAAACTGGTCTCTATGGATTAAAATTCACAAGTGTCAGAAGGCATTAGTAATATATATATATGACCTGGTAATCCCCACACCAATGACTCACAGACTTCACATCTTAGAAAATATCCTTGTTCTCAGTGGGACTTTTTATTGTTTCAATGTATTGCTCAATTTCCTCTGCATCCTCTATTTTATAGTTATATAGATTTATTAAAGAAAATTTTAAAATTCTACATGCATATATCATAAAATATTTGCACCTCTAACATGGATCTTATCAGCACTTGGTTTTTGACCAGTAAAAAAAGATGATCTAGTTGGATGAGTTAAGTATTAAATGATGAATCATAATGACTACAGTCAATAATTTGTTATGATCAATCAGTAATAACTAATATCAATAAATGATTATATGTTAATATATGAATTATATAATATGATTATATGTTAATATGAATATGCAATTAACTAATATTACTAACCAAGAAATTAATATCTTAATATCAGTCAAAATATGTATATGTTTTTATTCTTTGTTTTATCACTTTTATAACTGATTATAATTTTATCACCAAATTATAAAAGTAATATTTTTATGGTTAACAGTATGAGAAAAATGTGGCAAATAAAAGACCTCCCATCTGTCCTAAGTGCACTCTTCTAAAGTCAACCATGCTTGGTTGGTTGGTTAAGTGTCTATCTTCAGCTCAGGTCATGATCCCAGGACAAGTCCCACATCAGGCTCCTTGCTCAGTGGGGAGCCTGCTTCTCCCTCTGCCTGCCACTCCCCCTGCTTGTGCTCTCTCTCTCTCTCACTCAGATAAATAATAATAAAAAAAAAGATTTAAAGTCAACCATGCTTAAAAGATTTCTTGCATATACCTTGAGACATTTTCCAAGCTTATATAAGTCGAGTTTATATAAGATATTGCTTATTCATTTTTAGTCAAATAAGATCATACCTGAAATACTTTTATGTGTTAAAAATTACTTTTATATTCATCAATGTATTTGGGTATCTATCTTCTTAACTCTAAACTTTTCTGCAATTTATAAATGGGCACAAATAATTTCTAGTTTTTCCTTCCTCTAACACATAAGGTAATGGCTACCTTTATACATATTTACAGGTGCTCACTATTTGGCTCAATGATACATGCCAAATGTTGAAAATCATTATTTGGCTTGAGCTTTCATCATAGAATAACATTCTGGGCTATAACCATAAATATAAAATTTTGTCTGAAGGCAATTTTCTTTTTCTTTTTTAATATTTTTAAATATTTTTTATCTATTTTTAAAGATTTTTATTTATTTATTTGACAGAGAGAGACACAGCAAGGGAGGGAACACAAGCAGGGGGAGTGGGAGAGGGAGAAGCGGGCTCCCTGCTGAGCAGGGAGCCCGATGCGGGGCTTGATCCCAGGACCCTGGGACCATGACCTGAGCCGAAGGCAGACGCCTAACAACTGAGCCACCCAGGCGCCCCTGAAGGCAATTTTCATTGCAATTAAATATTAAAGCCTTATTAGAGAAGTGTAACACAACACCATTACATTTGGGTACTTGACAGAGCAGCTGGTACCTGACTCTTGTGATCAGTACGCTGCTATTTTTTTATATGATACAAATTTCCTCTTCACTGTGGGAGAATAGAGAACAAGATATTTTTGAATATCTTCCTCTTCTCGAATCCCTTCTTATTCCTACTCTTAAACAAGAATTTCTTTCTGTATCAAATATGATTTTCCATGAATTTTGTTAAGTAAGATTTTGGAATTTTTCTCTCTTACGAAATTTCAAGGTGGCAAAATTTATGTTCTGCTCTTAATTCATCTGTACAAGATGTGAAAAATTCCCATGTAGAATTTAACTTAAAAGCCTTGTAGCCTAAATGGAAGTTAAATAAAACAAATGATTTATCTCATTTTTTAAAGAATATTACATCTAACAGAGGTATTCTGCAAAGACTAAAATTATGCTATAATTAATTTCTGTTACATTTGTATTATTATCTCAAATTTTATAAATGTCTGTGAAGCATATTATTTAAATTTTGGTGAATAATTTTATTAAAGCTATCCAAACATTGTACACTTTTCTTTTGAGATTTATATATTTATTTTAGAGAGAGAATGATAGCACGAGCAGAAGGGGCAGGGAGAGGGAGAGAGAGAATATGAAGCAGACTCCACACTGAGTGTGGAGCCCAACACGGGGCTCCATCCCAGGACCCTGAGATGATGACCTGAGTCAAAACCAAGAGTCAGACACTTAACCAACTAAGCCACCCAGGTGCCCCTGCACTCTTTTTAAATATTTGTAGTTATTACCAATTTTCCTATTTTTTTATTTTTTTATTTTTATAATTTACAAATAGAGAGCTTTACAACAGAGATGGTAAGAATATAACCATTTGAAATGGTGGCTGTGTGATGATGATTAGATCAGAATGCACATTCCTTAGGGAATTACTTGACTTGCACATCCTAAGCCCTTAGTTAGGTTTGGCTGTAGCCTCCTCTCCCTTCCAGTTTGGATCTGTTTGGAGCAGATTGGGAAGAGGGAGCTACAGGTCTATTGAGGACTCAGTCAGAGATGAGCTAAGTCACAGGAATAGCATGTAAAGCACAAGAAGGAAGCAAGCAGCTTTCACTGAAGCCCTAATGAGATCTGTTTGTGGGACAAGAACAAGTTATTCATCTGCTTTTTACCCAGGCTCATCCCAATTTGATGTTGCTTGCCTTTGGTTCTAAAAATCCTGCTTTAGGCTTCAGTCAGCTCCCACTGCATTTTGGCAGCTGAAAATCAAATCTCTTTCCTCTGGCGATAGAACCTCCCCATAGAACTACCCTTGATATGTTGATAATGCTGCCCTTGTGCTTCTCATGTATCTCAGTAAAGGAAGGTGTTATTTCCTATCACGAATTCAATTATCACCTTTTTCCTCAGTTTCTAATCAACAGTGGCCTTTAATGTTTGAGAAGATTTGCTCTGTGAGCTTCTATGATATTTGCAAAGAGAAAGGGGATGGAGGAGAATGTTAGAGCTCAACGCAGTGATCTAATTTAATACATTCATCACCGACAAGACACTGTGTCCCAAATAGGAGAGATTATTTGCTGGAGATCATGTAAATATTGAGTGGCAGAACAAGGTGTAAGACTCAGATCCTCATATCAGTGCTGGGTGCTGTTTTTTCCTATTTCTTGCCTGCCTCCTTACTAGCGAGTACGTTTTCTCGCAAAGGCGGTTGAGAAAATAAAGTTGCCTTTACACGGTCTGCCATCAAAAGGCCACAAACCCTGGATTTAAAGAGCAATCATGGAATTTTGACTGCCTTTTCTCTGAATTTACAAAGTAGAGCAAAGGAAAACACACATTCTCTACATATTCGTAATTTCACGTGTGAATTAAACAATTCATAAATTTTTATTGAGCTATAATTTACAGGTAGCATTGTATAAATTGAAGACATACAACATGTTGGTTTGATACAGTTACATATTACAGTATGATTACCACTGTAGCATTAGCTAACACCTCTATCACATCGTATAGTTATTATTTCTTTTGCATAGAAGTAAGATCTGGTCTCTTTGCAACTTGGAAGTTTATTTTATAATGTAATATGGTTGACTATAATCTCCATGCTTGGCATTAAGTCTTCAAGGGTTATTTCTCTATTAGCTGCATGTTTGTACCCTTACATAACATCTTCCCAAATATTTAACTGAGCATTAGCAATGTGGATGGGATAGAAGGTACCTGTTTGTGAGGGTATTATCATAGTAATTCAAGTAGGAAAAAGGAATAGTGGTGTAAGATATACCTCCACAGCTACCCTCTAACAGTACTAATCATTCGTTATTTACTATATGTCACTCACTGGGTTAAGCTGTTTTCACAAGTCTCATTCAATGATCACAACAATCAATAATGAG